TCATGCCTGTTAAGATGGCTATCATCAAAAAGTCAAAAGATAACAAAAAATGCTGATGAGGATATGGAAAAAGGGGATGCTGGCACATGGTTGATGGGAATGTACGTTGGTACAGTCATTATGGAAAGTGGCATGGAAATTTCCTAAAAAATTAAAAATAGAACTCCCATATGATCTAGCAATCTCCCTTTTGGTATATGTATCTAAAGGAAATAAAATTACTATCTTGAGAATAACTCAATAATAACTCCCACATTAATTACAGTATTTCCACAGCCAATAAGACATAGAAACAAGCTGAGTGTCCATTGATAGATGAATGTATAAGAAAAAGTGGTACATACACATACTCCCTCTCTTTCTCTCTTACACACACACACATATACAGAGGAATTATTGTTCAACCATAAGAAAGGATATCCTACCATTTGTAAAAAACATGGAAGAACATTATGCTAAGTGAAATAAGCCAGACACATTAAATACAAATACTTCATTATCTCCCCTACATGTGAAATCTAAAAAAGTTGTAGAAGCACAGAGTAGAAGAGTGGTTACAAGAGGTTGGGAGGTGCCAGGAAAGAAATGGAGAGATGTTGATCAAACTGTACAAACTTTTCGTAAGATGAATGAGTTTTGGAGAGTTGATATTCAGCATGGTGATTCTGATTAATAATAATGCATTTTATATTTTTTAAATTTGCTGAGAGAGTAGATGTTAAATATTCTCATTACATAGAGAAAAAATAACTGTGTAAGGTGATGGATATGTTAATTAGTTTGATTGTGATACAAAATGTATAGGTATATTAAAGCATGCTGTTATACATTTTAAATATATGTAATTTTATCAATTTTACCTCAACAAGGGTAGAAAATTAATATTTCTATAATTATTGATTAATTATGTTTTTATACAATAATAGGGAGGAAATTTTACTGCTGCCTTTCTTGCTTTCCTTCAAAGATGATGTGTGTTTTGATCTTTGACCCTTGAAACTGCTCTTTAAGGATGAACTTGTTTATATCATTAAAACAATTCAAACTATGCTTGCTCTATTTATATCAATATTTTGAAATTGCATCTAAAATATTTATTCAGTCTGTATGTTACAGTAAGAGCTTTTTAGTTTACATTTTGCTTCAACAACAGATAGGTCCTGTGTATGTCTGTTTTGATAGACAAGGATATCATTGTGTCGTTTGGAAGACTTTCTCAACTCTGAGGAGCTTTCTCTTCGAAATATTGAAACAAACTACACAGGAGGTCAGCGCTTACTCATTACCTTCAATATTTATTAGACTTCTGGGTTCAAGGTAATCAGTTCTAATCCAAAATGCATTATTGCATTTATTTATTTTTTTCCTAGATCATGCCATTGGGTTTACTAATGCCTCTTTCTCCTGGGATAAAACAGGGATTCCAGTACTAAAAGAGTAAGTCTTGATTTGAGGCACATTTGAAAAATTAATTTAGCATTGGATTCTATAATTATGTCAACTTTCATTTTTTAGAATTTAACAAATTAATATAGTAAATAAGATTTTTTTAACCCTTCATTGTACCTTTCATTTTCTTAGTGATTTTTTTCTGTTTATTTCCTCCTCAGGACTTTACAATTCACCTGTTCTTTGCAATTTGGAAGCCTAAGTGTTTGTAGAAAAATGTGAAAAATCCCTTCATCATCTCTCTCCTTTTTTCATCATGCAGCTTGAACATGAAGATTCCTGAAGGAGCTTTCGTGGCAATTGTAGGGCAGGTTGGGTCTGGGAAGTCCTCTGTGCTGTCTGCCATCCTGGGGGAAATGCAGAAGCTTACAGGAGTCGTCCAGAGAAAGGTAGCACTGACATGTTCTTTCAAAATCTTGTAGAAGAGGCCATAACCAATTTGTCATTAGTTTCAATAACAATTTATCAAATTAAATTGAAGATTCGAGAATTTAATGGATATTTCTAGTTTATAACAAACATTTCAATATCCATAAAAATCGATTAGCTATGGATAGATTAGTAACAGAAATCTGTCCTCTAAGTTCTTCAGCAGATCATTTATAAATGCTTATAGTAATTGTTTGATGATGTTAACCAAATTGCAACCAATTATAAAGAAATGAATTTGATTTATACTGTAATTTGATTAGTCTTCTAATTACCATTCATTACAAGTTTCCGTAAGTAATTATGGCCATTCCATTTCTAACAAGTCTTTTAGCTAGTTGATCATGGGTGATATCTGTGGCCTAAAAGAAACCTCAGAAAAAATAATAAATAATATTAATAGCTTATATTTAATATTCAGTCATTGAATTATAAAGAATCTATTCTCAGATATTTATTCTACTCTTAGAAGTAGATAAAAATTCAACTTAGGGCCTGGCTAAGTTGTTGAGGCTGTGATCTTAAACCTGTGATCCTACTGTCTCAGCCTCCTGAGTCTCTAGGATTATACACATGCACCATCACACTGTCTCAACAAGTTCTTAATGGTTTTGAAATATTAGACTACCCTGTGAGTTTTTCCCTAAACCTAATTAACCCTCAGGTAAAATACTAACCCAGTTCCTCCTTCTCACCTCTAAAAAGGGAGAAACTTTATGCATCTGAGACCAGTTCCTCTTTACCCTTACTTTTTTTTTTCCTCCCTGGAAAAAATCAACTCTATCAACTCCTTTTTCTTTCCTTACAACATATATTTCTTCATATCCTTATAACTTTATTGATTCTTGTCTTTATGACTTAACTTGTATTATTCTGTTTTCTCTGAGATTTATTGTTACCTAGTGTAGGATCAAATATAATCCCTATGACTTTTTCAGATAAGATTACACTTAATAAGTACTACTATTTTTGAACTTTAAGTATACCATCTTTTAGCCCTGAGTTCTTCGTAATGATTGCAATCAGCTCTTTCCATATAGTTCAAGATATCTATAAATTTTCTTGGACCAATGAATGTTCTTTGCAAACATAAAGAGGATCATAGTAATTTCATTTTCATTTAGTATTTAAAGCTATTTTCAATAAGCAGCTCTGAAGCACATACTATGCATCTATAGCATAGTACTAGAGTAACAAACATGAACAAGATATGTTCCTCTTTTTTTCAGAGATCATAGTCAACTGAGGTAAATACCAAAGTCAGTTATGACAAGTTATTAAAAATGAATGAAAGCACACACATAACAACAACGACAAAAAAAAAAAACAACAAATTCTGTTTTGAAGGGTAAGAAAAAGAATCAGAGAAGAGGTAGTCTTTATTTGATCTTGAAAAGAATTAGGAATTGATAAACATAAAAATGATATCAATTCTAGGTTTTACATAATGCATTAATAATGACAATGAGCAAAAGGCCCGGGGTAATGATTAAAATGAGAGGATATACCAAGACCTAGTTAGTTTATGGTACAGTCAGCTGGCTCCCTATGAATATTAATGACTAGCATTATTTTCATTTTGATTGTTGAGGTTTTTATGGTAAGACATAGGGATTCTTTCTGACATTTTTGAGTGTTTTAAATTAAAAAGCGTGTTCATTGTAATAAAAGAAACCATAACAATGCCATTGTGAATGGTAAAGCAGAGGAACCCCCACCTGTTTTTTTAAACTGTAGGTGTCTGAGATAGAAGCTATAATCTCTGTAAGTGGTTGCTTGATCTTCAGAAGTATTTGTTTTGGATCTATCGCAGGATTTGACATATTACACTCTGAATTATTTCCCCAATATTTTATCACAAATGTATAAGTATCATATTGATGAGCACTATTTAAGTGAAGTGATCATTATAATGGTATGACCAATTTAACATTTAGAGTTTTAAAAGTTTCTTTGTAGGGATAGGGATTTAGCTCAGTTGGTAGGATGTTCTCCTTGAATGCACAAGGCCATGGGTTCAATCCCCAGCACCATGGAGGGAAAAAAATGTGCTTTTGTGAGCTGGGCATAGTGACTCATGCCCATAATTCCAGGGCCAGGGAGTCTAAAGCCAGAGGATTATAAATTCAAGGGCAGCCTCAGCACCTTAGCAAGACCCTAAGCAATTTAGCAAGACCCTATCTCAAAATAAAAACTAAAAAGGTCAGGGGATGTGGCTCAGTAGCTAAGTGCCCCTGGGTTCAAACCTTAGTACAAAAAATAAAATAGTGTTTTTCTGTGTGTAGCATTCAGAGTATGACTACTTTTTTGAGGCATATTTTATATCATAATAGTCAAATTCTAAAACTCTCTAGGATCCCCTATTCTGTATCAAGGGCTCACAAAAGATATCATTCATATAGAATATTCAGTATTCAGTGTTCTTTGATAGAATATTAGAGATCGAAGATCACTTTGCATTACCAAAAATTCAATTGTAGTTTCATTATTATGTATGAAGGAAAATGCATTTTCCTTTGTGAGAGGTGAATAATAATTATAATAACAATAAAAGAAAACATTTACATCTTTGTAAAAACAGATTAGCCAGTTTTAATCCCTGTTATAGCAATGTGAGACCATGTAGTTTTTGTTTTAAGTTATTTTTTTTCATATTCTTCAATCTTTTCTTCTGTGTTCTTTAATTTATTCTCTTTTCTGCTTAACTTGCTTAATATGCCACAAGCATTCAAAATATTTTTCACCTGTGGGTTGATTTTATAGGCTATTCTAATCAAAGTTCAGCTTATTCCCTTCACAATGCAATTCCAGAGCAATTACTTTTGTGTTCAAGATCAGGTCAGATCAGAACTATACTGTTTTTGATCAAAAGCCATTCTGTGTCTTACATGCTCAACAAAGAAGAATTAAACGTTAATCTTTGATCTTTAAAGTGGTTGGTTGAAATCAAAAGGCTAATAGTTGCATATATGCCTATCTCAGAAAGTACTTTAAACATTTGCTATTGTTGTAGAGCGGGCAGTGTTTAAGATACTACATAATCAATGTTTGGATAGAATCCATGGGTCAGAATGAAAGGTGGGTCTCTGGTTCAAATATTATAGATTCTTTTCCAGAAAAGAAAGATTAGTTAAAAGGACATTTGATGGAGTAAATTGCCACATGTTTAGGGATCATTTCAAGCCATAAATAATCAAAAAATGAATTCAGGAGTGATAATCAATGTATAAGACATGGGTGTGTGCTGTCAGGACACCCTTTTAAGAAGGACTTGCTGCCTGTTGTGGAAATACATGGTCAGCATGCCAGCTCCATCAGTGTTGGCCTTGACCCAGCCCAAGATCCTACTCTTTTTCAGTCTAACATGGGACAACTAATGGACAACACTCCTCCAAAGCTCTGGAAGGTTGGACACAGCTTTATCAAGCCTGAATCACACAGTATGATGTTCCCCTCTACCTACTGTTCCATTCTCCTTTCTTTCCATGGGGTTGAGCCCCAATATACAATATAAAATATGTACCTCAAATTCTATCTCTGTTTTAGAGTGAATTGTGTGTCCCCCAAATTGTATGTTGACATTCTAATCCTCAGTAATTTAAAATGTGATACCATTCGGACACAGGATTTTTGAAGAGTTGATCAAGTTAAAATAATCTCATGAGGTTGGACCCTAACTGAATAGGACGGAAGTTCTTTTAGGAAGAGGAGATTAGAATACAGACACATACACAAAGTGAATGCCATGTAAAGCAGGGAAAAGGACATCATCCACAACCCAAGAGAAAGGCCTCAGAAGGGACCAACCCTGCTGACACTTTGATGTTGAATTTCTAGCCTCCAGAATTGTGAGAAGATAAAATTCTATTATTTAAGCCACTCGGTCAGTGGTACCTTGTTATTGGTAGCCCTAGAAAATAACACATTTAGCATCTGCTTCCAGAAAATCCTTATAAAGACAGATAAGTGTGATGGAAGCTAAAGTGAAAGAAAGTAAAAAGCACAAATTAACTCATTTGAAGGGACTGCTAATAAACAGATACAATCTTAAAACAGGATACAATGATCTGTATGTTTACATGTAGGGAAATAACCTAGATTTAAAATTGTATGTGTGTGTACATACGTGTGTGCACACACAGAACCCATGGACTCTGTATACTTTCATGTGGTGCATGCAAATTCTCTTCTTTCCTTGTTGAGAATATTCCTTTACTTCTTTCTTTCTTTAGGGCTCTGTGGCGTATGTTTCCCAGCAGGCCTGGATTCAGAATTGCATTTTGCAAGAAAACATTCTCTTTGGCTCCATCATGCAGAAGCAGTTTTATGAGCGAATATTGGAAGCCTGTGCTCTCCTTCCTGACTTGGAGCAGTTACCAAACGGAGATCAAACTGAGATTGGAGAAAGAGTAAGGAAAATATAATTTATCATATGCAGGAATAAAATAGCATTCAGCTATACTAATAAAATGTTAATAGTCTTTTTATTGAGGTCTTGGAGAGTTATCCAACTACAATTTTTAAAAACTCATTATAGAATTCCTATGAAGAAGATGGCAGTATTAAGGGCAAAAAATTATTTATAATTAGCTACATAGAAAACAGATTAAAAAACAATTCATTTGTTAGTATCCATGGGGGTGGAATTAAAGTCCGCCAACTAGATTGTCAACATTTTTGTTTTAGTTCCTAGCACAATGCTGTTCTCCTTCTAAAGAGTTTTTTTTTTTTTTCTTTTTCTCTGTATAAGGCCAATCAGGAAAGGAGCATCAGAGCACCAAGCTCTGGTTCTACGGAGGTTCTGAGATGACATTTGTTAATGTGCCTGCTCTACATTGGTTTATTCCTGCTTAAAAGGGACTTGTTTCCCAGTCATCTCACTGTTTGTTCTATTTTATTTACATTGTGTTAATGAATAATCATTACTCTGCTCAGTATTTCAGACTTTATATATAAAGTCTGAAATATATATATATAACACTAAGTATGAACCCCTAAATAATTTATTATCCCTGACCAGGAACAAAAATCTTCATTTAAGCATGAATGTGGAAGTATCCCTGAGGTCTACAATCCATGTGGATATAAGGATGAATAAATAGTCTTTACTGAGTACTTCAAATATCTGAAAAGGGAGCAGGCATAGGCAATTTTATACATTGATAAATAAAATATGGTATGCAACAAAATTGTAGGAAGTAGAAATCTATAAAATCCAGAAGGAACCAAAGTTGACTTTCTAAATAAGATTGGCTTCCTTCATAGTCTGCTATTTTGTAGATTTAATTTTTCAATAATATTAAATAGATTTATTATTTTTTCCAAACCCCTGGATTTTTCTGGGCATCTTCATTATCCCTGATCAAAATGATGCCATAGCTAAAATCTTGCAGAAATGTGATTTCTTCAAACTTGTTAGTGCATACTAAAAAACACGATGAGAAAACTGTCTCTAAAAATATGAATATCTGATTGTACGTAACTATAAAGAATTTTAAAAGGAAAAAAATTCAAAATTGGATATACTGATTTAATATAGGAACTAAATGATATTACTATTTATAATTCCTACTTCATTTAATTAGCTTTTTCTCAATTTGATATGATGTATTTTAAAACAAACATGGAATTGAATACTTCATAAGGAAATCTGTTTACAGCTGTTTATGAGATAACCAAGACAATGACTATAGAGTTTTCCTTTTCTTTTAATGATCTTTTCCTTTGACACTTTTTAATTAAACACAAACATTTATGAATTTATTATATACTCTGATTCTGCTTTGAGGTATAAGATGGTAAGTGAGAGAGCTGTCACCCGGCCTTCAAGTAATCTAGCGGAACACTACCAACAGTTTTAATCGATTGTCTTTACCAAGATTTATTCATTATCTGGTGTCATACACTAAGTATTTGGAATAAAGGATAAACTAAGTGGGAGCTGATAGGCTCATGAGAGACTATGAGACTGGGCTGAATAAACAATGTTCTGCAAAATAGGAAGGGAGGGAAGACATCATTATACTCAATACACGGAGAGAGAGGTTGCTGTCCAAGAGAACTTTTTAGGGTATCCTTCAAATTGAAAAGAAAAAATGTGGGCTCCCCAGCAGAATGAACATCCTTGGGTCTACTATGAAAGGGTAGGTCAATCTGCTCAGTCAATCATATTCACTCGAGGGCATCATTGGGAGAGAAGTAGAAGGGGGTATTAATACCATAATAAAAGCACTTAGACTGAGAAAGATGCTTTTGCTCATGGATGACAGAAAAGTGAGATGTGGGAATCCAAGGTATTTAAGCAAGATGGTAATATAATTACAGGATAAGTGGTGACATGTCAGAAGATGAATTAGAGAGAGGAGTAATTGGGTAATAATACCAAATGCCAACGGTGTCCACACTCAGTGTTGGATTTAGGAATATTTTTACACACTTTATTGAATTCTCCCAAAATGAGTCAGGGGCTACCATAATTACATGCAAACAAATGCACACATAATACACACATGTGAACCACATTCCTTAATATATACATTTTCATGCTCAACTCCCTTATTATCTTTGAGTCTGAAGGGCTAGCATAGCCCCCAGAATATAATCATATTGAGGAGATATCTGTTGAGTAACAGGACGATTTTTAAATGCAAAGAAGCAATATCATTTTGCAATTGTAGGCCATTGGCTAAGTTCTGCGTTGCATTGAGAGCTTTAAAATAAGATCAGTAAACACTAAACATAAATGAATCAAGTGAATTGGGTGCCTTACCCCATAATTCTCTATACATAGCTGTATGTGTCAACTTTAATTTTCACACAGTGATGTATATTCCTTACTTTTGCTTCTTGGAGTTGTCCTTTTGCCAACAAGACTTGCACTAATCTTTCTACAGGAGAAAATAGGACATGTTGATTACAGCTTTGGTAATTTAGCCATTATTCTCGATTTCCTATGTGTCAATTTAAAAATGATCACTTAGTGTCAGTATATAGTTGGCAGCCAGGTATCTTGTTTAATATTCTACAGGCTTAACTTTTCAGACTTAGAGCTTTGAAAATTCTTCTTTCCTTAATTGGTAGCCTCTTCTTTTGAGAGTAAGTAGTTAAAAGGAGGTAGACATAGTTGTTAATTTGCCCAAGTTAGTAGAACTAGGAAATGGGATGGAGATAAGACTAGGAAATAATTGACAAAGTTTTGAGTGTTCATATTGGGTTGTTATCTTGTCCTTGCTATGAAAGAGCACTTAGATGTAACTTCTATTCCATACTCAGGGTGTGAATATAAGTGGAGGTCAGAAGCAACGAGTAAGTCTGGCCAGAGCTGTCTACAGTGGGGCTGACATCTACCTCCTGGATGATCCCTTGTCTGCTGTGGATGTTCATGTCGGAAAACAGCTCTTTGAAAAAGTGATAGGGTCCTCGGGCCTTTTGAAAAACAAGGTACTCATAATTTTGTGCCTTGGAGGGAAGCAGAGGGAGGATAATCTGCTTAGCATTGTGCCTACTATTCCAATTATCTTGCCTATTTATTTAAGCAAAATAGTCAAATTTCACATGAAAAGATAAGATACTTGCATTTCCCTTTAAGAGATAAATTTCAATGATCATTTTTGAGATTTTTTGCATAACTTTATATCAGCAATAAGTATGTACATAAAGTAGTTACTTCATTAACAATTACCGTACTCTAAGAGGAAGTATGAATTATAATTAGTTAACTTTATTTGAAAAATGGTATTTTGGTATGTACTACTGTTTTAAAAAATAGAATCATTTTACTTAAAATTTGGTATTACAAACATAGCAATAATAATGAATCCATCATTTTGTATGGGACCAAGAAAATAGAAATTAATATTTACCAAGTGCATTATATGTTTGACTCTTTAAATTAGTGTCTTCAGTTCTTATAGCAATTCTCTAAGATAGGTATTATCATTATGCCTATTTTACATATGAAGGAAATCATACTCTAAATTGGCCTGATTTAGGTTTCTCAACTTAAGAATAGCAAAGATTTTTCAAAGTCTGTCTGACCACATAATCACAATCATTCCATGATAATATGTTTGTAGATTTGTTAATATGTAGCATTCTGGAAAATATATGTAAAATTCTAAAATATTTATTTCAGTAAATAATGTAAAAATTTCTTGATTTACTGGGATGAACCCAAGATAAAAACTTCTCATTCACTTGTATTTTTATGTGTATAATAATATGAAAGATTAAAAAATAAAACTTATTAATTATAATTTGAACAAAACACATTTTTTAACGGTGGCATATTTTTTTTAAAGGCAAATGTTTTAGTCAGGTTTTTGTTACTGTGACTAAAATATCTGACAAGAACAATTTTAAGGAGAAGAAGTTTATTTGAGGTCTCATGGTTTCAGAGGTCTCAGTCAATAGCCAGTTCCATTCCTCATGGTTTGAAGTGAAGCAAAACATCATGATGGAGGAGTGTGGTGGAAGGAAGAAGCTCATTTGGCAATCAGGAAGCTGAGAGAAGTTCCACTCACCAATACAAAATATATACCCCAAAGTCATGTCCCCACTAACCCACCTCCTCCAGCCACCCTGCCCGATTTCAGTTAGTTCCCATCAGGAGATTCATTCACTGATTGGGTCAAGGCTCTCAGAACCCAATCATTTCACCTCTGAATCTGCTTGCATTTTCTGACACGTGAACTTTTGGGGGACACCCAATCTAAACCCTAACATTAAGCAGTAGTGACAGATATGAAATTATTTAAAATTTGCTATGAAATCAGTTAATTTCTAATGACTGAGCAATACCCTAACCAAAGGGTTAAAATTACAATTGTAAGATATTTTCTGATCCAGCAGTATGTCTAGGAGATAGTATGGATGCTGTGTTCAATTGTCACCTACAAAAATTTCACTCTCAAATAATAAAGACAAAAAAAGTGACTTTAGTTTAAAAAAAAATATTTGTGCCATTTTTTGTTTGTTTGTTTGTTTGTTTTTCAGTTTTTTCTGGAGATCTAACCCAGAGCCTCAAACATGCCAGGAAAATGGTCCCCCACTGAGCTACATCCCTAGTCCTATTTATGCCATATTTTTTAACCTGTGGAATAAACACTTTTGCGTTTCAGACTCGTATTTTAGTCACACACAACCTCACGCTTCTGCCACACGTGGATTTTATTGTCGTGATGGAAAGTGGCAGGGTAGCACAAATGGGAACATACCAGGAGCTGCTATCGAAAACCCAAAACATCCATAATTTGCTTCAGGTTTTCAGTGGACAAGAAGAAGGTAAGGATACAATAAAAAATAAACCTAAGACATAATATGCCTACGCATTTTGAAAGTCTATTAATTACCTAATCTCTTGCTGTACATTTCTTTTTCATTGATCCTGCTAAAGTCAAGGGTGAGGCTCTTTTATTTCGATAGGAAAGAAACAAAGACAATGAGATAGACCAGTTAAACATCAACTCCTTTATGGCTTTTAAGAATAAATATAAATGCACCAGTGTCTGTTTCTTCATCTATAAAGAGATTAGAAGATTTATAAATTCTAGTCTAGTCTAGAATACAATGGGTCAAAACATTCTGTCTTTAACATTTAGAACACAAAGTTTAAAGCATAAATCCACAAGGAACAAAAAGTAATTATTTGAAACATTTCAGGTAAATTATTGGATGCACAAAAAAATAATAATACAGGGAAACATATCAGCTTAACTTTGAAGAGTTAGAAATTGGGGTTTTATTCACTAATTTTTGTAACTATAGTCATAGAATTTGAAAATCAGATTCATAGACTTTTTAAAATAAAAGAAGTGGTTCCATCCCTGTTTAATGCTTAGGACACAGGGATGTTTGAAATCCAGCTTTATTTTAATATTTCACAGAAATCAGTCCTTGCCTGCTCTGAAAGTGGGATGTCACATCATCTCTTTTTAAAGCTTTAATTGGTTTTTCATGTAGACCATCAGAGCCTGATCATTTTCCAGAGCCTTTTCTGGATTATTTTGTAATTTCATGACTTATAGTGATATGTCTCTGTATTTTCTAAATGACTCAATATCTAGTCTAACCTCACTTTACCCTTGACCTGTATATAAATGCCATAGAATATGAAACTGGTTTAAAACAAGATCAATTATTATTTTAATGTCATGAAATGCAAAAATAAAGTCATTTTTCAGTTGTCTTGTTTTTTTGGACCTTAGCTAAGACACACAAATTGAGTTCTATTTTTTTTTAATTCTCTGATTTTACTTATCATATTATAAATATTCTATTTGTGCATATATTTAAAAATACACAGTGCATCTCTAGAAGAAAGGAGTCTTATTATTGTCTCTGTCCTCACCACTGATGGAGCCACATGCAAACAAGTGCCAACTAGATGTTTATTAAATAACTGCATCAAAATATGTGTCTCTTCAGAAGTAAACAGGATGATTTACAACACTATGAGCCAGTGTCTTTTTCTGCCATTTATTGAAAGTCATATATAAAATATAGATTACATTATATAGGAAAAGATATATCCAAAATCAAACAGAATATGTTTTTAATTCCATAGTTAATTTACTACAAAGTATGAACAGTGGACCATTTAAAAGTTGTGGGTTTGCTATTTTTCAAATCTCTTTTGGTATACAAATGCCACACCTTCTCTGCATTTGTATGTTTTTTATGTATTTATGTGTCCTCTACAGTAACAGGTTAAAAGCAATATTATTCTTAGAATTATCCTAACAGATACTACCAATTCTCCAGAAATATGCCATTAGAAATGTATAATTTGAACTTTTTTTCCTAATGACTTCAATATTTTTGCATTTTGTGTTAGAATTCAGGAAGATAGAAAGTAAAGAGAATTTGGTTACTAGGAATAGAATATGTTTGAAATTGAATATTTCTGGGATTTTAATTTATTTGGATACTAGGTGAAAATATAAAGGCTTTTTAAAAAAATCTAGTATCTAGTATTTTTATCTAGTAAAAACTCATAAAAATACTTTACTCATAATAAATAGATAGATAGATAACCTTCGAAGGTTAGCCATATATGGTATGATTTCTTTAGCTTACTGTGAAAGCAGGGCAGAAATATATTTCAATGATATGAAATCCCTCATTCAATAATAGCTTCAAACTCAGTTACATCCAGTGTGATATTCCTGCAGTTCTGCCTTTTACACTTAGGTCAGTACTTGTTGCCTTATAGAGTCTCTGTTCTGCCTTTCGTGCCTGACTTTCTGGTCGAGAGATGGCATTCACCACCTGAGCCCTCTCCACTTGCCGTTTCTTAACCTCTCTACCTTTGTCTTCAGATTCCAGAATTCTTTGCTCCTAGGACCAGGACAATTTTTCTGCCTTGGGTCTGCTCGCGCAAAGAACCAGCTGTTGTGCTGGTGTGCACAACTTTTTGACCTGAGAATTCTCCCCCCCTGGGCATGGTGGTGATGGGTAGAGACTGAACATGTGGACTGAAGTGTGCAGCTCTTCTGTTTTAGGATGGAACCGGGGAGGGAAAGATTGAGAGCTAAGGGACTACCTCACCAAAGACTGCTATGTACAAAGTAGGGAAAAGTGTCAAGAATCCAAACATCTCCCCTTCCAAGTGATTGGGGAGGCATATTTGTTGGTAAGCAGTAGAACTTAAGAGTCTGCTAGCTCTATAACTTTAAAATGATTAGAGGGTATGTGGACCTTCATTTGAACTCTTGCCCTGGTTCACACAGATGTTAGATATAGGCCTGTCTGTGAAGATTTATTTGCATAAATGATAAGGAAAAGTCAAATTCTATCTGAGGGCTTTTTGGCCAAAATTTAGGAGAAGGGAACTATTTGGCAGGGAGTGCAGTTTGAGAAATGTGATCCCCAGTTTTAAAATCACCCTGTGATCTGTCATTCGTCTATTATAATTCATCATTTTTGGTTTTGAACCTATTCAGAAATTCCTTTAAATGACACATAATTCTTCATTTTAAATTAAGTTATATGACATTATAATTGGGGTATAAGTTAGCACAACATTATGGGGAAATACAGGGGTCTGAAGTCAGGAGCTCTTCAGATTTAGTCCTTGCACTGAAACACTATGTTGGTCTTCACAGGAGTGAACTCTTCTGGTTCTTCCTATTTGTGAAATATAGGGCTTGAACTAGCTGTTTTTCCTGGTGGCTGATGTGAAACTGAACAATGTGTGTTCTCCTGCCTACCTATCTACTTAATTCATTCCTTCCTTCCTTCCTTCCTTCCTTCCTTCCTTCCTTCCTTCCTTCCTTCCTTTCTCTCTCTCTTTTGTCTCTTTCTTCCTTTCTCTCTCTCTCTCTCTCTCTCTCTCTCTCTCTCTCTCTCTCTCTCTCTCTCTCTCTCTCTCTC